TCAGTCGAGTCTCAGAAACTTAGGTGTTATATTTGACAGTTCAATGTCTCTTGAGAAACACTCTAAACAACTTGTCCGGAACTGTTTTTATCATCTAAGAAACATTTCTAAACTCAGGCTACTGGTGTCAAAGGCAGAACTTGAGATGATTATTCATGCTTTTATCTCTTCTCGTTTGGATTATTGTAACGGTCTTTTTACGTGTCTTAACAAATCAGCTCTGGATCGCCTTCAGTCTGTACAGAATGCAGCGGCAACATTACTCCAGTTTTGGCTTCTCTTCATTGGTTGCCTGTAAATTTTAGGGTTCATTTTAAAATTTTAGTTGTAACTTTTAGAGCTCTGCACGGTGAAGCTCCCCAGTATATCTCTGACCTGTTGAAACCTCATGCTTCATCCCGAGCACTTAGGTCTTCAGGTCAGAGGCTACTGGTGGTCCCACGTACTAGATTTAAAACACGTGGGGATCGGGCTTTTCAGGCACTGGCACCTAGGCTGTGGAACTCTCTGCCGTTGTCTTTACGCTGTCTAGACTCTACTGACTCCTTTAAAAAGCAGCTGAAGACATTTTTATACAAACAGGCTTTTAACTAATTTAATTAATTTTAACTTGTATGTCTGATCTTACTGTAAAGCACTTTGTGATTTTTATCTGTGAAATGTGCTATATAAATAAATTTTACTTACTTACTTACTTAGCTTCTTGTAATTGGTGGTTTGCTTTAGTCACACAGGAATGTGCTCCCTTTCTGTCTGGAAGTTCAGAATATTGTAACAGAGTAGATACAACATTGGCTCAGTGAATGTGTACGTTATTGCTAAGATCAAGTACTTGATACAAGAAAATGTTCTTTCTACTTTTTTACAAGTGTGAGACGATCGCTTTCATTTAATTTGCCAGGCTGCAGAATTTAAAACATTATATATACACAATATACTCTGCAATGTCTTGAATTATAATTAGTTAACCCTAATCCAGCCAACAATTATTGTAATGTTTCATTTAAACCTTAAGTATGCATAATATTAGCAGATTCAGCTGTAGCTGGAGGGCATTTGCATGTTAGTTTCAGGGGCCATAAAGCTCAAATGTGTGTGTGCTCTGAGCTCTCTTCCTGTTGCTGCTTAAGCTCCTGCTGTACCTGACTGAACCTGCCTAGATGAGGGATGTCTTCAAAGAGTCTCAGAGCAAAAAAGAAAATAAGGTTCTTGTAAATACGGTATACTTGGAACTTGCATTAACCTCCTTTTTACAATGCTCCAGGAGGGGTAAAAAGGAGGCCACATGATTGAATGAATGAATTGCATGTATGACCCTGCTCATTCTCTCTATCAGTTGGACTCTGCTTATCACAGAGCTTTAAAATTTATAACTCACAGCAAAACCTTCAAGACACTGCTGTACTTTATATTCTCTAGCTGACTTGTCTTTACTAGAACTACACAGGATGGTTCACTGGTATTTTATCTATAAAAATATGGTTTACTCACCTCTTATCAGATTACATGTTTAGTCATGCTGTGGTCTCCATGACTTCATGACATTCGTTGTAAACAGTTCGTACAGAGTTTAGAAAGAGGGCTTTCCCCTTACCCTGCAGAAGGATTTACAGCTCTTTTAACTGATTTTTGTAAATATTGTGCAATTTTCATTATTTTACTCTTTCTAGTTTATTGCTGTAATTATGCTAAAACATCTCTCCTGTAAATGAAACATTGAGTCTTAAGTGTTATGGCTGCGGCGGCAGTTGTGTGGGGCTAAAGGGAAAAGGACCCAAAAGCAGGCATTGACGTAGATGTGATGAGTGAGCTTTATTTATATGATGTGATAATTCAGACAGAAACAGAGGTGGCGAGGATAGAAACTAAGATAAATAAAGTCAAAGGAGCTTGCAAAGAAACATCTTCAAGTAAATGGCCTGTATTTATATAGCGCTTTACTAGTCCCTAAGGACCCCAAAGCGCTTTACATATCCAGTCATCCACCCATTCACACACTGGCGATGGCAAGCTACATTGTAGCCACAGCCACCCTGGGGCGCACTGACAGAGGCGAGGCTGCCGGACACTGGCGCCACCGGGCCCTCTGACCACCACCAGTAGGCAACGGGTGAAGTGTCTTGCCCAAGGACACAACGATCGAGACTGTCCAAGGCGGGGCTCGAACCGGCAACCTTCCGATTACAAGGCGAACTCCCAACTCTTGAGCCACGATCGCCCGTATGTAACTTAAAGAAGTCCAGACGCTTTTCTTTGCAAGCTCCTTTGACTACGATGACCTGGATGACTGAGAACCTTCACAGACATAAGATAAATAAACTAGGAAAACTACACAAACTTGAAACCATGACTCGCAGAATGATATGCAGGATGACACATGGAGGTAAAACAGAGTGCAACATGGGAAGATGCACGGAGGTAATACAGAGTGACTCAGGGAGTCAAACACAAAACACTGGATCACTCCCAGTACCTTGACAGAAACCCAGGTGGGTGGTGGGGGGCCCAGGACTTGAAACAAAATCAGAGCTCACAAAAACAGTTCAAACACAGTTCAGGGGGTCGCCCTGGGGGTCGATGGCTCAATAGCTCATAACAGAGCAGGTCTGGAGGCCAGCCGTGCGGAAGGCAGCGATGGTGAAAATACTGTATAAATGCTTTTTTTTTTTTTTTTTTTTTTTTTTTTTTAAATTCAGCAATTTAGCCTGGTGGTGTTGTAACATTTTGGGCCCAACTTAGTACCAACTGAGCCTTGTAGCCACAAGTTACTTGAATATTGTTTCTGGCTATGTCGTTTCCTTTACAACTGCAGTGCACCCATCTTTTGATGGGTGCCTTCAGCAGATACAACAAAGAGTTTTAATATGACAATGACTTCACAGTATGAAAATGGTCACAGTTATCAGATTCAGCTATGATGAATGGTGAAAGATTGAGAACCCAAATGTAGGACAGGGTAGATGAAGGTTGAACTTAAAGTTGAGCATTGTTTCCAGGAAAAGAGCCGACGGTCCAGACACTGGAAGCCAAAATAAAACAGGAAGGAGAAAATCACTGGTCGAGACTTGACCCATAAATCTAGGAAAAAATATAATATACAAGACTAAGGACTGAGAACAGAACTAGCGCACTAAGTTAGCACTAAGGGAACATGAATATAAAGCCAAGAAAAACCAAGAATTAGAGATTTACTAGATATTTACTAAAAAAAGTCCAAACAACTCAACACCGCTGAATAACATAACAAGACCCATAACTATTGTCACCAGTGAATGTGGGAGTGAATGTGAGTGCGAATGGTTGTCTGTCTCTGTGTGTTAGCCCTGGCAACCCGTGCAGAGTGTACCCTGCCTCTCGCCCTTTGGCAGCTGGGATAGGCTCCAGCAGCCCCCGCAACCCTAAGAAAAAGGATAAGTGGAAGCGAATGGGTGGATGGTGTTAAATGACGCTCTGTATAATGCAAAGTCATATTATAGTAATGAGAGCTGACAAGATACCATACAACCCCCCCCCAAAAAAAACTAGAAAATAATTTCTACAACGGAAACCAGAAGTGTAGGATGGCCAACATTAAACAACAGCCACTGTAGAGCGGGAAAAGATTAACATAGGATTTACAGGATGTGAGAAACGAGTAAGAAAAACGTGTCTGTAATGCTATGAATTCCATCTGTGGTCATACACACACACTGTCACAAAAACTCGAAGGAAATCCAAATACAGTGAGAGGTCTTCACAGACACAGAGTTTAGCTCCAAAAAATAAACTAAGGGCCAAAGGGCAGAGCACAATCTAATGATGGCTGAGTATTTACTTTAGCCTTAAGAAGCCAGCTTGATAACCAGATGAGGAACAGGTGAGTTAATTAGTAGAGCTTTGGCAGGTGAGCATTTTACAGGGAGACAGACAAACACAGATTGATCAACTCTGAGGTAAACAGAACATGCCCTCAAACATACACATGCATATAAGACAGAAGAGAGACATATTTCTAAAAATAAATAAATGTCTGTATGGTAGAAATGCAGGAGTTCTCTCAATTTTTTTTTAAGCCAAAAAAGCTCAGAGGCTGAGACTTCTTTAAGACAGACTTTAACAAAAATCAATCACTAAAAAAAGTCATGATTTGTTCACAATAATATCAGTTTTCTTTGACATGTTTTTTTCTGACTGAAATCCTGTGAAAATATCTCTTACCTTTGTAAATGAGACGAGGAAGTTTCTTAGAATAACTGTTCTGTCAGAACTTGCCCCTACAATTTCTTTTTATTTACTCAGTTTAGTGGGAGTGTCCAGTCAGTTGCATCAATCATGTATTGTGATGAAATGCCAGATAAGGTTATCCAAATAATAAAATCTGAAGGAAGTGTTATCTTATTCATGTTAAATTAGCTCTGCCACTGTGGAATGTTGACTATAAACTGCACCACTCTTTTTATTGAGCTGTCAAAGCCCTTGACACTGCTGATTTGTCATTTTCCTAGAGGTTATTGGAACTAGGCCTTTCAGATGAAGGCTGGTTTACTAATTACCTTTCTGACTGCAAGCAGTGCGCACAGTTTAACGGTCTCTCTTTGAGTTTTTAAAGTGTCACTAATGGAGTGATCTGTCTTACATTATTTGATATTAATGTTAAGGCAAAAGCTAAATATATTTTATCATTTATATGTAGATGACACAATTATTTTTGTGCTCATACCACCAACATGGTTTTCCAACAATTACAATTAGCTTTTGATGAAAAACAGATGCATTTGCATGAAAAATCAATCACTAAAAAAAGTCATGATTTGTTCACAATAATATCAGTTTTCTTTGACATGTTTTTGAATGGATGGGACAGTTTATTGAAAATCAGAAGAGGTTTTAAGTTTCTAATCTATAGAACACATCACAGCAGATGGATAAAATTCACAAATCAGCATACAATAATTAGAAACGTTAAGTTCTATTTCAGCTATTTCATCAGTAAAAGTCAGAACTTTCTTTGGCTGCTTTTATTTGAAGAGGGAACTGAATTTTATCTCACAGCTGAGTCTTCTAATATTCAAATGGCCACGCTGTTTTCTACCTCTGCTGGATCCATGTAGGTGTATGGCACTTCTAAACGCTTGTTTCTGGCTTTAATGACTAAACTCAAATCTTCCAGCTCCATCTGAAAATCCTTTAATATCTTGCGGGGAATCTCCTCAGTGAAGTGGTCCTCTGGGTACTGGCCAAGGGGAACCTAATAAGAACAATGATACATTCAGTTTTTCTGCAACAGCATTCAAATTATTTATGAAATTAGCCCCTAAAAATTATTGCATACATATGTATTTTTTTTTCACAAAACTTGAATTTAAACATAATTTCTGTCATTCTTAATGAAATCTTTGCTCCTTACAAAGTCACTGGACTGCTTGCTGAGCAGCCACATGGTGGCCATGCCCTGAGCTGTTACATTGACATCAGGGAAGGTGGCCAACATCGTGGCCTCGCTTGTCGTCCCTTTTGTGGTTGGTGGTGGGAGTTGCAGGGAGATGGGAGTGTTGGGCATCCAGCCACCATAGTCATACTGCATTTAATCAAGAAGTAAAGGATAACTGATTAATAAGAGCAATAATCATGGTGTTTCATCTATCAGAAGATCATGGCTTCATAATGCAGGCCTTTCAACAGTTGAAAACACATTTGATGCATCATGAAATGAAACACTAACACAGTAGACCCAGGACTGTTTAGCAGCTAGAATCATATATCAGACGAGAATGGGACACTCCTCTCTCAGATCTCCTCAGTTCCCAGATGTTTGTGGACTGTTGGTAAAAGAAGAGGGGATGCTACAGTGTGTCAGAGTAGTACACAAAGCCCCGTCCTACCTTTTTTAAATATATTTTTCTGCCATCAAATACAAAATGAGGCATTATTTTTCTTGTAAGGTTACATTTTCTCAGTTTAAACATTTCATATGTTTACTATGTTCTATTGTAAATACATCTACAAATCAATGAATGATTCTGTTTTTATTTACATTTTAAATAATTAGGTTGAATTAGGTTTTATATACCTGTCCACTGTTCACAGCTGCATGCTGGGCTGAGCAGGTGAAGATCACCATGGTGACAAATTTGGCCAACGCAGTCACACAGGTAAATCTCTGAGGAATTCCTGTTAAACACAGAAAAATAACTGCGTCACTTAAATATATTTAGGCGAACAAACAAAAGTTACTTATTTTTGCAATATAATCCTAAATGGATAAATCACCATTATCATCATCATCGTAAATATTCAAATATTGTATAAAGCCCACCTGTTTCTGCTTGAGAAAGGAACCCGTGTTCAAAAATGTCCAAAATCCACTTCTGAAGTTCAGAGTCCTCCTGGACCTCACGGTCACTCTTGTAGTAGTAGCCGAGCATTCCCTGCACAAACCTTTGAGAAATGGGAATACACTGAGTAAAATATATTTTCGATTCTTCGATACCCAAGATGGCAAAACAACTAATAGCTCAGTGTTCCAACATTCGAAAGAAGGGACTGCTCTCACAGCTAGAGATTGACGAGGTACAACATAAATGCTATGGCAAGGGGGAGCCAGGACGCCAGGTCAGGGGGGAGATATCATCACCCCCACCCGAGATTGGGTACAAAGCCCCAAGCGCGATAGGAGAAGGATTGTTGAGTGCGAGAGGAACTGACCTGAAAGATAGGATTACGGCCAAGCTTGAAACCTGGATCCCCCATAGCCGGTTACCAAGATTACGTGAAGTACCCTCAGAAGGTCTGCTAGATGATGTTAATGCAGCACTACGGACGATACCTACAACCATGATTACTGACACTAACAAGCTGATCTACAATACGGCAGCAGTGATCAGTGAGATGCTTGGCTACAAGTTGAACAGCCACAAGGGGCAGTACCCTCCATGGAGAAGGAGGCTAGAGGGCAAGATCAAAGTAGCACGGAGGGAGGTTAGCCAACTAACGGAATTGCAGAAAGGTGCGACAAATAAGGTGCCTAAGAAATACAGCAAGCTGTCCATACCTGAGGCCTTGGAAACTGCCAAGCAAAGACTCACAGCCTTGGCCAGCCGCTTGAGGAGGTACACCAGAGAGATCGAAGGCAGGAGAATAAACCAGCTTTTCTCCACAGAACCAGCAAAGGTGTACTCTCAGTGGCAAGGGAACAATAAGAGAACAGCACCACCAAGGCTGGAGATGGAGCAATACTGGAAGGGCATATGGGAGAAGGACGCAACCCATAACGGCAATGCTCAGTGGCTAGTGGATCTGAGGGCAGACCATAGCAACCTCCCTGAACAGGGTCCAGTAACCATCATGGTGGCAGACATCCAAGCAAGGGTCTCTAGTATGAAGAGTTGGACCAGGCCCCGATATGGTTCACGCCTACTGGCTGAAGAAGCTGACTGCACTAGGAAAGCTGCAACCACCAAGTACCTGCAGAGGGTCAGGCAAGTCCTGAGGAGTCAGCTGAATGGTAAGAACAAGATTCGGGCCATCAACACGTACGCCCTGCCCGTGATCAGGTACCCTGCTGGGGTAATAGGCTGGCCAAAGGAGGAGATAGACGCCACTGACATAAAGACAAGAAAGCTCCTTACCATGCATGGAGGGTTTCACCCCAAGTCCAGCACCCTGAGGCTGTACGCTAAGCGGAAGGAAGGGGGCCGGGGACTGGTGAGTGTCAGCACCACAGTCCAGGATGAGACAACGAACATCCACGAATACATTGGGAAGATGGCCCCAACTGACCGAGTGCTCAGTGAATACCTCAGGCAGCAGAAACCCAAGAAAGAGGAGGGAGACGAGGAACCATCACGGAAGGACAGGCCCCTGCACGGTATGTACCACCGGCAGATAGAGGAGGTGGCTGATATCCAGAGATCCTACCAGTGGCTGGACAAAGCTGGACTGAAAGACAGCACAGAGGCACTAATCATGGCAGCACAAGAACAAGCTCTGAGTACAAGGTCCATAAGGCTATCACACCAGGCAAGACCCCAGGTGCAGGCTGTGTAAAGATGCTCCAGAGACAATCCAGCACATTACAGCAGGGTGCAAGATGCTAGCAGGCAAGGCATACATGGAACGCCATAACCAAGTGGCCGGCATAGTGTACAGGAACATCTGTGCCGAGTATAACCTGGAAGTCCCGAGGTCAAAATGGGAGATGCCCCCAAGGGTGGTGGAGAATGACCGAGCTAAGATCCTGTGGGACTTCCAGATACAGACGGACAAAATGGTGGTGGCTCACCAACCGGACATAGTGGTGGTAGACAAACAGAAGAAGACGGCTGTAGTGATCGATGTAGCGGTTCCGAATGACAGCAACATCAGGAAGAAGGAATACGAGAAGCTGGAGAAATACCAAGGGCTCAGAGAAGAGCTCGAGAGGATGTGGAGGGTGAAGGTAACGGTGGTCCCCGTGGTAATCGGAGCACTAGGTGCGGTGACTCCCAAGCTAGGCGAGTGGCTCCAGCAGATCCCGGGAACAACATCGGAGATCTCTGTCCAGAAGAGCGCAGTCCTGGGAACAGCTAAGATACTGCGCAGGACCCTCAAGCTCCCAGGCCTCTGGTAGAGGACCCGAGCTAAAACTAAACCAAAAAATAGGCACGCAAAACATTTTGGTGAACTCACATAGAATAAACATGAAAGAAAAAAAAATCTATTTAGGCTTAGTATTTTTCTGTTATTGATCTGATTTGATGAATACAATAGTTTGAGAAGGCACTGGTGCATTTTGGTGCATTGATGCTGGGATGCTTACATTACTGCGATTCAGCTGCTTTCAATACTGAAATAAAAATCTAAAACTAGTTCTTCAACAAAATAAACTGAAAGGAGCAATTTGGAAACAAAAAGAAGTTACACCAAACTGAAAATAAATTTTTAGATTAAAGTAACTAAAATAAAAATAATATGTAAAATTTTGACCCAGTATCATAGGTAAAGTAACAGATGCATTTGCATTATTTACAAACTTTGAATTGCAGCAGCTTGATGGAAAAAAAAGAAAAATATATTAATGATACCTGTGGATGATATCCCAAACCTTTAGGCCATCATCCCTGTAGAAGAAGTTTGGCACATCCTCTAGGCCACGTTCAGCAATGTCATCTGGCATACAGAGGGAGCTGTAGGTTAATGAGCACACTGACCTCTGCAGGATCGTAAACATGCCCTCTCCACCTGACCCTGCAAACTACACAATAAGCAGCTCCTGGTTAAAGACAAATGTTAAACATGAAATAAAAAAACAAAACATTCTTTAAGTAAAGGTCTAGTGCTGTTCTTTGCATACCTGAGTGAAAGCGCCAGTGTCAGAAATGAGAAGGCGTCGAGCTAAGAAGTTGATCTGCAGAGTGTAGCGTGTGTGTGGTTTGAGGAGCTGAGGGAAAGAGGGAACTCTGTTAGTGACATGATTGGGGCAACACTTTAGTATTTATTATGCTGAGGTACTCTGTTGCACAATCAGTGGTCCTCTGTGGACACATTGATAAGAGACTCAAATTTTATTCATCACACACATAATCATACAAATTATGACATGTAGTGAAATACCTATTGCTGTGCAATGCCCAACCATTAAAGTACAATAAAGAAATTTACAAAATTTACAGATTTTAAATTTTAAAATTTACAGTTAAAAAAAAAAGAATATTTAAATAACAATTTAAGAAAGAAATTATAGGAAGAGTTCAAGTAAACAGTGCGTGCAGTGACATGATTTATGAGAGAAAACGGAGTTTCAGCAAACGTCAGTTACCTTGTACAGAGGATGCACCATGGGCACGTTGCGCAGCAGTGACACTGCAAAAACCTCGGCCAGCAAATGTGTGCGCAGCAGGTGAGCATTGAGCTGATGCTCATTGAAATCTGCACTTCTCACAAAAGTCTTGGCGATCAACCAGTCGTACTCAGAATCAGTAGGAAGAAAGATCGGATTGTCATCTGATGGAGTCTGCTTCAGCTACAGATGGACAGGGCAGAGTAGGCCATATTAGCGTATTTTGAGTTGTATTATCTCTGTCTGCTACGTAAATACGACACCTACTGCTTGGCTGTTGTGACTTTTGGGGTTTATAAATTAAACCTATTTGATATATTCATATGTCAGACTCTGGTCTCAGCAATGTGGGTTAAACTTTTCCACAAGGTTATGGCTCAGGAAGGGGAAAAAAATTAGGTTGCACAGTAACCTACACAGTAGTGTAATCATCAGTTAATAATCAATTATGTAATTATTTGAATTACAAAAGTTAAGGTTGAAAGAACAAAAACATCAAATGAACGTGTGTTTTTAATTCTCCCTGCACTCATGCTACAATTTCCCTCCCTGTGTGGGAGGAGTAAAATGGTGGAGCGGTACAGCAACACAGCTTTTGAGGAGTGGCGATATGGATCAGGGGCGTAATTTCCAGGGGGGGTTATGATCCCGCCCAGTAATCAGACCCAACAAATACAACCCCTCCAGTAATATTATGAATTATCTTGCATAAATAGGCTGTTGATTTTCTTTATTCATTTCAGGTATTACCAGCAAAATAGTTGCATGTCTATCCAGGACAGAAACAACCGTGTTAATTATTATGAATTACCTGAATAGCAATCGGCATTAGCTTATCATCAGGAGCTTTGTGGAGCAGGACGAGAGGAGCCATCAAGTACTGCTTCTTCCCATTGATGGTGTTTGTTTTCACCCCTTCCAGATGCTTGTAGTCACACAGGAATATGTTCCCTTTCTGTTTAAAAGTTCAGGTTATTGCATCAGTGTGGATATAATATTTAGTCAGTGACTGTAAAAGTACAATTATTTGACAAAACATCAAGTCAATCTAAGTTGGGTGGTTTTATTGTCATTTCAGCCATGTGCAGTGGTACAGTATACAGTAACACGAGATAACGTTCTTTCAAGACCATGGTGCTACATAAAACATATAACAGACAATCAACACAGGACTACTTTTTAAACTGTGTGACTTGCTCGCTTATCATCTTGACACATCAGCAGCAGTTCTGCGACAAACTGCTCTTTTGCAACCCCGAGCAAAACATGAATGATTCTCTTTAACTAAGTGTGTGTGTGTGTGTGTGTGTGTGTGTGTGTGTGTGTGTGTGTGTGTGTGTGTGTGTGTGTGTGTGTGTGTGTGTGTGTGTGTGTGTCTGTGTGCTAACCACAATTGTACCCTATTTCACCTCGCCGACTAGCTCCTGACCTCTCACCAGACAGAGAGACAGAAGCCACTCTCATATATGTAATAACCGAACTGAAACTATGTATATGTCATCTACTAAATAAACGTTTTAATCAAGAACCTCTACTAAAGGCTTAATACAAGAATATGACCTTATAAACGATAATAAAAATGACCTGATATAAGTGTTTTGTAAGCATGTATTGCAATTCCTTTAATATGATAACAGTATGCATAAACATCTTAAGGCCATCTTAAAGCTATCTCTTACATTGTTAAAAGCAATGATCACACCGCAGATTATATTGTGCTGGTAAAATACTTTTGTTCATCCCCACACTACATAAAGTACAAGTTTGCAAAAATTGCCAAACATGATATACTTTTTATCTGCAACATATGTAATAGTTTAATTTCTTTTCATTAATGCCAGCAGACAAAGAATATGCTGCAATGCTTAATTTTAAGGTTAAATATCATTAGTATTAGGATATTCAGCTATAACTGGACAGCATTTGTATTCTAGTTTCAGGAGCTGTAAGGCTAAAATATGTATAAGCTCTGAATTCTCACCGATAGTCTTCCTCTCGCTGCTGAATCTCTTGCTGCCGACTGTACCTGCCAAGATGATGGTTGTCTTCAAAGACTCTCAGAGCTATAAAAAAAAAAGAAAACAAAGAAAGAAAGAAAAATGGTTTCAAGTTGTTCTTGTAAATATGGTATATACTGTATTAGGAAACTGCTTCAGCCTCATTACAACCTTTGTTTTACATCTTCAATGGTTTGAACAAGATTTAAGATGAGCACAGTTTCCCAAACCTTTTCCATCCCTGAAGCGGTGCACCTTGCTATCAGCAATCCAGCGGTAGATGGGAAAGCTGTAGATGTCTCCTTCAGGGGATTTCACTTCCACCTTGGCACAAAACCAAGCGTCCTCCGGGAACAGTGGGAGAGACTGTTTGTCTAACTCTATCAGTAGAAGATTTCCAAGCGAAGTGGGGCAGGACACCTTAAACTTTGATACCTAAAGAAATGACATAGCAATTTGTGCTGAGCTGTAACACTCGAGCATACAATTCCTGTTATAATTTACTGTGGTCCATGAAGTGAATTGTTGTGACATTGTTGAGAGTAGTGGAATTAAGGCGATCACCAGTGAATACGGTCACTTCATACTGCACCATTTTTCCTCTTGAATGTGGTCAAATCCTGGTAGGGGGAGAATTCTAATTATTCTTAGCACTGATTTGGAAATGTAAACATTTACAATTGTGGCATTACAGTGAAAAGGACAATGTAAACAATTATTTTAACTCATTATGCTAAATGACCCATAATTTCTGACTGAAATCCTGTGAAAACATCTCTTACTTTGAGATGAAGAATTTAGGTTAGAGAAACTACTCTGTCAGAAGTTGCCCCCCCAAATTTTTCTTTTTATTCACACAAATCAGTGGGAGTGTCCAGTCAGTTGCATCAATCATGTGTTGAGATGAAATTCTTGATAAAGTTGTGCAAATAATGACGTCTATCCTATTCAGGATAAATCAGATACTGATAACTGTTGTGTGTTTTTGGCCAGTCACTTCGGTTTTTGTCCTCCAGTTTCCTGAAGGGCTTTTGGAAACACCTCACACCATGCTGATATCTGCCAAATGTTTTGCTAATTTGAAGCTATTTGGAAATACCTTTGTTGGTATTAAATACTATTTTCTGTCTGTAAAACTTTGAGTTAGGTGCCTTTTTCAGTTTTAAATTGCTTAACAAACAAAAAAACATTCTTCTGAAATTTATCAGGTACAAGAATTGCACTGAAAATGAGTGAAAAACCAGCCAATGGCCAAAGAAAAACTTTAAAATAACCATCAGAAAGCACTATTGAACTATTGCTTATCACTTAAAAAAAATTAGAAGTCTTGCTGTTTGGTTGCAAAATACAATTAAATAAGGGGTGGCTCAAGCCTTTTGCACAGCATGGGTCAAATGAACGTAGAAAAATATGAAGAAAATTCATTAATAAGTAACTGCAAAACTGTTGTATGTGTCTTTTTATTGTTTCTCACACAAACACAGTGATCACAGGCAGCTAAATTATTAGTGTAAACTAATACACTACATACAGTAGCAGCTGCTCTAAACAAGCAGGTTTTGATAAAGGCTGGTTTAGGGCGCCAGCAGATTTATAAGCACATTTTTAAGCACATTTTTTCAGTCTGTGTAATGCACTTCTACATGGGATCATTACCTTGTTAGTCAGTTATTCTTGTTTAATAAGCCAGAACAATAACCACATAATGGCTCTGTGAGCATGATCATGAACCCAAAATGAATTAAAAAAAAGCAGATCATTTCAATGCAGTTAGTCATTTTGCAACAATTAACAGTTAGATTATATAAAAAAGTCCAAATGCAATGGTGATGCTTGTTCACTAATTTCCCTTTTTACTTCAGTGTCAGCTCAAAGTACTATTTACAATCTTTTCATTTTCCCTTTATTTTAAAGTCAAGCTAAGGCAGAGGCTCAGATCTGCGGGGAAGGGACCGTCAGGAGCCCGGTGGGCTTCAGCTTGTTGATCCCTCCGTCCAGGTTACAAACACGTGGAAAACTCATCTTCACTAGATGTGCAGCAAACTGCAGAAAAAAAGAGAAAGTTCCCATCAAAAACTGAATACTTCAGATTTATTGGTTTTGTTCAACTTTTTCTGTCTGCTGTATTACTAATATTTAGGACTTAAGTAGTTCTAGTTTCTCTGTAGTTATAAAAGGCAAATCCACCACTGCAAAATACTCCAATGTAAAATTGGTTTATCAACCTCTCTGAGACAAGCTCAGCATAAATTTACACATCAGACTGCGGGATTACGCCTTAACATAAAAATGCACTAATTCAGTACATTTTTAAGTTTAAGAATTAAACATTTTATATTTCTCTGTGACTCCTCATTGAACCTTTGTTGTGTCAGTTACATGGTGAAACCAAGGAGGGGAATATGATTGCAAAACCTCTTCCTCTGCTACTCATGCAATTATAAAAAAAAAAAAACCCTGATACCCGCTGAACTGGGGTTGACCTTATTCTAACCAAATTATTAACCACAGTAAAATGGTAAGGAAATTAAATTTTGATAATTTCATTTCATAACCTAGGTGATTAAAAGGCCTTATGGATTTCTTATGTCTCTGACATTAAGTAGTGTGTCTCTGACATTAAATCCACAAATTCTTCAAAAACAGCTTCTTAAAACCTCCTAATTAAAAATTTCAGGTGATCCTGTCACATGAATAATTGTCAAATCATATATATGATGATAATGACAAAAAAATCATTATGTTTGATACTTGGCTTGAAATGAAAGAACATGATTATCACCATGCAAAACACGACAGGGATAAAGCCACAGCCACACGACTGTATACTGATCATGTGGACCATTAAAAGGTTAAACGCAGCAAAGTTCTGATGCTTCCCTTTAATAAAGAAAATGCAGGATTGTCTTCTCAGTTAATAAGAACTATTTCTTTTTCACTTTCTAACATATGGAAGGGGGACATCTTTTCTAAATTGGGATTTTGCCTGAAGCACTATCCCTGCTGAGTTTATAAATGCCAGCTTGGCTAATTTATTCCAAGAAGAGCACGAAAGGAGAATGTACGACGATCAGTGTAGTTCTCTCTTGTGTTATGCTGAAGTGGGCAAATTTATTTTTGTTCACTGAAATATCAGATGGTGATTTATGTAAAATATAATCTGCTAATGTTCAAAATGTTCCAATGAACTATTTATTACATTGTACGCCAGACCAATAATCTCAGTGTGGCTTTATATAACAGATGGCTGAATTTTACAAGACAGAGGCCTGAATTTAAAGATTATTGCCTTCACAAAATATTTAATATCGACAAGACTAAGTATAAATTTTTAGTAGTCGTGAAACAGAAGATTGATTGTTTTATCTTATTAAATATATGCTCAAACAAATGCTCCTATGAACAAAAACAAGTTGTCAAAATGCTTGCATCAGTTCCAGAAAGCAGTTTTTAAAAAACTAAAAACTGGACCATAATGTTAGCGATGTAGTAGCTCATCTCACTCACAATCCATCACAATTCACAGGTTATTGTAATGTGTGAAGGACAGAATTGGTTACCTTTATTGCACAACTAATGAGAAATTAGATCCACTTAGAAGTCAAGGAGGGTCACAAACAGTTAAGGACAAATTAATTTCATCCACCACTAAATTAAAGTTTAAGTTCAGGACTTTTTCTGACTCCTGGTGATCGACATTTTCATGGCCATGAAAACCATGAATATAGTTAGTTACTTTGTTTGTTTATTTGTTTGTTTTTGTTGCAAGGACAAGACCGTTACTAGTCTATCCCCATTATAACCTAACAGTTATACATAAGGATCTATACACTTTTACCTCAAAATTTCTTAAAAGAGTAGTTAGAAAACTGCTAACTGATCATCTGCGAAGGAACGATTTATTTGAAGGGTGCACCTTGGACAGGTTCTGAGTCTGTCACAAGGGCTAATACACAGGGACAGACCAACCATTTGCAGTCACATTTACACCTGCAGTTGTTTGCATATTTGTCACACTTACATGTTTCAGATCATCAAACAAATTGAAATATTATTGAAAATACTCTCTGGACTGACGAGACAAAAGTTAAACTTTTTGGATGTTTTTTTGGATGGACCAGTTCTGTTTACATTTTACCTGCTTCATACATACATTTTCACTGCTATGCAGATCATACCCAGTGTTATCTTTCTATAAAGCCAGAGACACACACACAGACATAAAGACCTGGATGACCTCTAATTTTCTGCTTCTAAATTGAGATAAAACAGATATGATTGTACTCAGCCCCCAAAATCTTAGATATATGGTGTTTAACCAAATACTTACCTTGGCCTCCAATAACACTGTGAGGAATCCTAGAGGTGTTTTTGACCAAGATCAGACCCCATCTTATCTTAAAGAACTCATAATAACATATCATACCAATAGAGCTCTTCGTAGTATGAGAGGCAGAGCCTACAGCTTTCAGGCCCATCATCTGTGTGTCATGGTCCTGGGCCATGTTGGCCCAGTGTTCTTAGTTTCCTTGTATGTTTGTATTTTGTTCCTTGCTTAGGCCATGTTTTCTGAGTTGCCCTGTTGTGTTGTTCCCTAAGTGTTTTCCCTTCATGGCTTTTACCCCCTGTGTGCCCCTCTGTGTATCTGTGAGCCCTCGTCTCTCCTTATGTTTTATTCCATGCTTCCCCTGCCCATTATGTCTAAGTTCTCCCCGTGCTCTCTCTTCCCCCTGTGTGCCCTCTATGTATTTACGAGCCCTCGTCTCCCTTTGTGGTTGTTTCATGTTTCCCCAGCCCGTTATGTCTGTGTTTTCCCCGTGCTCTCTCTCCTCCTGTCTGAACCTCTGTGCACTTCCTGTTTACCTTGTGACTCTCACGCCCGTACATGTCATGTTCAGTTCACCCCGCCCTGTCTCGTTATGATTATCAGTGTCACCTGTGTTCCCCGTGTGTTCCCACTTTCCTCGTTAACCCTCTGTGTATTTCTGTCTGCGTCTCCCTCTGTTCAGCGTGACGTCGTCCCTCATGCTGTGTGTGATTCCCCCGTGTTTCCTGGTGAGCTTTATGTTAGTTTTTCCCAGTTTAGTTTTGTATCTCCTATTGTCTTTGGTCAGCAATAAAGCTGCTTTTTGAGTTCATCCCCGTGTGTGTGAGTTTTGCATTTTGGGTCCTCCTCCTGCCTGCCACACAGCCGAGCCTTGACACTGTGGAACCAGCTCCCAACTTGGATTCAGGAGTCAGATGTCCTCTCTGCTTTTAACATTAGGTGTAAGACTTTTCTTTTTGACAAAGCATATAGTTAGGGCTGGATCAGATGACCCTCCTTAGTTACACTGCAATAGACTTAGGCTGCTGGGGCTTCCCATGATGCACTCTTTCTCTCATCCCTTTTCACTTGCCATGTGTTATTCACCACTCTGCATTTAATTATGAGTTATTATTTATCTCTGGCTCTCTTCCACAGCATGTCTTCTGTCTTGTCTCCCTCCCCTCACCTCAAACCAGTCACGGTAGATGGCCGCCCCTCCCTGAGCCTGGTTTTGCTGGAGGTTTCTTTCTGTTAAAAGGGAGTTTTTCCTTCCCACTGTCACCAAG